GATAGAAATGACCTTAAACTAGAGAGCTCTGATTTAACCTTAACGGTGGGAACTTTGTTGGAGTATATTTGGTAAGAGAAGAAGGGGGAAAATGTTTAAGAAGTTTGCTGTAACAGCTCACTTGCAAACTGTGGGCCTCCGTGTTTATCAGATTTTATTGTTACGAGGGCAGGATGGGATGTGGAAACGAGAGCGCTTTGGCTTGCAAGGAACTTGCTGATTTTCATGGTTTTCCATGACGAGGCTGCCTGGAGAATGGTAAGACAAGCACATACCGAAGGCTGTTCCCACTTCTGTTCTCGTTCTCTTCCCCACCATCCCCAGGCTCGTGTAGATCTCTGAAACTGGCTTTGGTCAGTTTTTTCTTCACCTTTTTCTCGGAATTTGAGTGCATAAGCTGGACAGCAGCCCTCTCTGGTAAGAGTGTGAGTTTACGGCGAGAGCTGTTATGGACTCCATGTTAATCATCCCAGGAACCTGATGTAACCGCCGTCTTCCCGCACGGAGAACAGAAGATTATTCTGCAGTACTGAAGCTTTGGTGGAGCAGAGGAGGTTGGGGCTTGGTGACGTCCAGCGCACGCTCTGCTGCTGGGTTGCTGGTGCTGCTCTGGTGGGACAAGAAGCGCCTTCGGCATCGCCTGGTGTCAAGGCAATGGATGGAAGGGGTGCAGGGTGCAGAGTGAGTTCTTGATGCCTCTTGGTTCCCACTGTTGTGGGGATGTATTTTGGAATACACACTGGCTAGAAGGCCCCCTGTAAGCCAAGGTGATACGGTATTCCAGCTTTCTTATTTCTGCGTATTCAGCCTTTTGTAGAGGTTTGTCCTGTGTAAGCAAATGCTGACAGGGCATGACTGCGTTTATCAGAACGAGCAAGGAGCTCAGCTGGGTGGCCAGTTCCTAGCAGCCTTGTGATGGTTGTGGCTCTCGTGTGACGTTTGTGCGTTAAGGCAACGTTTCTCCAGAAGTGCTGTTTTGTTTTGGGTTAACTAGAAAACAATGAGGGGCTTCATTCTTGTGGTGTGGCCTAGAGGACAAGGCTGGGTCCCTGATGTCTGGGTTTCATTCTTAACTGTTCCTGGTTTTCTTGGCCTCTCCGAACAGAAGATCTCTAGTTTTTGGGTTGCCCATCTACAAGGCTGGGCTGCTGCTTGCTTCGATCTCTTCAGCAGAATTCCGTCATGCTGGTCCAATGCATTGCCTTCTAGCATCTGACCGTCGCTGAAGTGTACAAGGTTACAGTTCCTGAAGGAGTTTTCCTTTGTTTTGCTAATTGGGTATGATCTGTTGTGCAGAAGAGTTCCAAAGGAACTGATGCTGCTTTGGGGAAAGGCGCTCTACTCTGCGGAGAATCCGGACCGTGAAATCTGGTGTTCCCAAGATACAGGATAATGTAGAGCAGGCAGGGAGAAATTCTGATATTGATTTTGCCCTTCATAAGTTACCTTGGATGTGTGAGTAAAGCTGTATATTTGCTACAGCTGTTACGGGAATCACTGCTTCTGATTTCCTATCAAAAGCTGTTATAAATAGGGGGGAAAAAAAAAAAAAGCAGCAAAACCCCCTGAAGTCTCTGGTGAAAAGGCCAGACGCGATGTTTGAGAGGCACTGGAGGATATCGATGTCTCTAAGGCAGTCTGTGACGCTGACCCTTGGGTCAGCAAACCTCACCACCTCTGTTTAGGAGCAGCTGAGCAGTATTTAAAGGTAATCTTGAAACAAAACAGGGGGGGAAAGGCTGTCTGTCTTCCAGCCTCGTACTGCCAAGGTCTTGAGTTGGAAGGCTGGATCATCTTGGAGCAGGTAGATGAAACGGGAGAACAAACTGACTTGTAGGTTTGCTGTTCTGCTCCCCACTGCTTCACTTGGGGATGGGGAGGTTGTGGCACAGGCTTCGTTTATGGTCGAGTTCCTTTTGTCAAATCCACCAAGAGCAGAAGAAAAGCAGGGATGTTATGACAGGGAGGAGGAGTGAGGCTGGGCTGATTTTAAAGCAAGCCCTTCATTTTCATCTGTTCTGTGCACTGGAGATGAAGTGGCGGCACGATAAACCTTTGTCTTGTCTCTTACTGCTTTCTTCCTTAGATGTAACGTAAAACTTCATAGGCTCTCATGTGACCACCAGAGAACAATTTGAAGGACAAGAAAAAAGCAAGCCTCAGCCCAGCGAGGAAGGCGTCCCTTTTTTTTTTGAAGCACAGGTGCTTTCATTTCTCACTGGTGACGCTTTTTACTGCATCTCCTCACAGTGGGCTTGGGGTCAGAGTCTGCATTTATGCATCTCTGTTCACAAGTTCCGCTGCAATAAATCGTGTGGCTCGCGAGGAAGAAGTCCTTGAATGTTTTCATGTCTTTTGTGTGCAGAACCACTTGATCGGTGGGACGCGAATGCGTGGCTGCCTGAGGAAATCCATCTGCGGTCCTTTTGTCTTCAGGAGATGGGACATAAAGCTTTGCTTAAATAATAGGACTTCAGCATCAACGCTTAATTCATGCCTGAGTGTGGCCAGAGCACCCAGTAGTGACGCTGCTGCTTCTGCAGCCCTGCTGGTGAGCTGACGGTTGTCAGGGAAGGCCGTGCTTAACCAGCTTCTAATGAGGCTTCAAAACTACAAGTGGTCGACAGGCTGCCTTTTGGGAACCCTGGTGCTAACGTTTGGCTAATAAATCAAGAGGCCTGAGGCTGGTATAACAATATTAATTAGGATGCTGGGGTGCTAGCTGAGTGTTTGTAGCTATTTTTTGCTCCTGGGCTTATGGACTGTAAAGCCTGAGTGTGGATTTTATGGTGTAATAAAGAGAAATGCTGCTGCTTGTAAAAGAACCAGGCTGCAGTAAATCTCTGGTGAAATAAAGCCAGTGGAAAAGCTCTAGGTGAGCCTAGGCCCTTGGAAAGAGTATTTATTCTATTAGCAATTAACGAAAATAGTCTGAGATTTTTGTAGTTTAATGATCTTTTCAGGTAGCCTGGTGCTACTTCTGGTGTAGAAACTTCATTCTCTGGAGGCGATGTTTCAGTGTGCTTTCCTAGGGAAAATGCTTGCAGCTAAGTCACTTAGCCCCTCTCTTTTGGGGGGGTGTTGTGTGGGGTTTGGTTTTGTGGTTTTTTTGTTGTTTTGGTTTTTGTGGTTGGTTTGTTTTTGGTTTTTTTTTTTTTTTTTT